CTGGTAATGAAATAAGTTTCATGCATTTCTGTAACCATATTTAAAAAAATAATAAATACATTTTGAATCATATGCACTATTCAATACGATAAATTAAGTGTCATTATTAATTAGCTACTATTTTCTGTTACAGTTTAATAATACTTAGGTGTTAATTATTGATATCGATCGTCACAGACGTACTGTGATTGCATATAATTATATTTCTTAGCATTCGTATTAGTCTTTATAGAGGCCATTGAAATATCAGGCTCTTCAGAATGCTTGTCCTAATTATGATATATATCTTAAACTAAACTGGTTATCATATATTTCATTTTATATATTTAAATATTGCCACGAATAAAGTGTAAATAAGAAGCTGTTTAAAACAAAATTTTAAATAGGGTACAAACAGTAGTTGAATTCTACATTCAGTGTTTAAACAGCTGTTCCTCAAACAGAAATAATGTTACTTACCCTTCTGAGTCTCATCTTGATGCTCAGATGAAAATATTTTGTTACGAAATTAATATAAAGATCTATAAACGCTATTTTGTAAACAAACGTATTTTAATGTATTGCAATTAAGAAATGTTTAAGAAATAATTAATTACTGAAATCAAATATTGTAAAAAACTCAATGAAAGAAAACAACAATTTAGATTTACTGATTTATAGACGAAAACGAGTGGGTAATTTAAAGATAAAATGCAATTGTAAATTACAATCATAAACATGAGGGAAAATTGGAACAACCTTGAATGTCATATTACAGACGTGAACACAAAAATAGCTTAAAGGTAGTTATAATGAATCTTGGTGGAAACTTGAGTAATAAGTCAAGGGTGTAAAAATGGGGCAAACTCAAAATTAAAGGCTTGTAGAACTCAACAAAACCTGAAGAATATGAAACATTAAATATGTAAACCAAACAAAGGCTTAAAACAAACATTAATGAAAGATTAGTCACAACAACAAAGTTTAATACGTAGATCTAAACGTATTAGAAACACCGGATTAAGGACACGTAAACTCGAAATTAACTCAGAAAACTTCAAGTAAAATGCTATTAATGCTTAAAACGAGCTGCAATGAAAAACTAAAAAACATTACATTCAAGTAAAAACTTAAAACAAGCTGCAATAAAAAACTAAAAACATTACACTCAAGTAAAAACCTAAAACAAGTTGCGATGAAAAACTAAAAACATTACACTCAAGTAAAAACCTAAAACAAGCTGCAATGAAAAACTAAAAACTTTACACTCAAGTAAAAACCTGAAACAAGCTGCAATGAAAAAACTAAAAACATTACACTCAAGTAAAACCTACAACAAGCTGCAATGAAAACTAAAAACATTACACTCAAGTAAAAACCTGAAACAAGTTGCAATGAAAAACTAAAACTTTACACTCAAGTAAAAACCTGAAACAAGCTGCAATGAAAAACTAAAAACTTTACACTCAAGTAAAAACCTGAAACAAGCTGCAAAGAAAAACTAAAACATTACACTCAAGTAAAAACTTAAAACATTGTGCAATGAAAAAATTAAAGAAAAATATAAACAATCTGCCACTGAGAATAAACTGAAAAAATTATAGACGAGCTGTAAAGGAAAAGTAAAAAACAAAAAAAAACAAATATGATTTAGTCAAGCTGCAATAGGTGATTAACATGTGAACAAGGAACAATATATTATAAAATTCAATGGAAGTTCGAAAACGTGATTACACTAACAACATACAACAAACATTAACGGAAATTTGAAGATATAAACACAATAACAATAAAGAACAAACTTCAATGGAAATTCAACAATATAATACATACTTAAATAGAAATTCAAAGGCGTAAGCACAACAATAATATAGAACAAGCTTCAACAGCGTTTAAAGAAGTGAAGACGGTAACAGTATAGAACATATTATAAGAGTGAACACAGCAGGACCTTACTGGTTTGCAATGGGAAACAAACGCATATGACGATTGTAAAATACAAGAACAAAGTAAGCCAAGCTACATTAGCATGAACTCAAAAAACTAATGTATTAAAATGGATAACAAATTTACAAAAGCAAAGTTTATACTTCATCTGTTAAAAATTGATCTAAAAGTACTTGTATGAATTATTTACATGATTTACTTACTCTGACTTAAGTTTACTTTCTACATCTAGATTAAGTACACTACACGAGTTTAGCATTCATTTCACTGTTAACATACTGTTACGTCTCCGTTCGTTAATTAAATTTTCCGTAAAATTTTTTTCCGAAGAAACTTTACCGATACAAGTCCTTTCTTAAATAAAACTGGTTTATTCTTTCTGAATACAACTTTGCGATACACTTAATTTCGACAGTCGTGCTATAACAAACGCTGTAATTCACAACAAATGTCTCACGTGCCCAACAATATTCTCTCTGTCCGCAGTTCAATTACTCAATACATTACCTCGCCTCAGTTCTTACTGGCTTATATATACAAGACTACACTATATCTAGAAGGATCCCGAGATTTAAGGAAGGGACGTGAATGTTCGAGAAGGTCGTGGCGTGATACTAGTCACGTGGCCTCCGCTGACGCAACAATACTCTATCTCTAATTATATATATTATATACTACCCTCAAAATCAATACACACTGTTTCCATAAAGTTAATACGCGTCTATAGACTGAAAATAAAATAATATGTTATATTATCATTCTACTCAATGACCATATTTCTAAGGATAACAACTTTAACAAAACAGTCGATTAATGAATGTAAAGACAAAATAACGGTATATTTATGACCAACATATCAACATCGCCTATAATGTTGGAATAATCGTGTTGACGCCAACATATCAGCATCGCCTATAATGTTAAAGTAATCGTGTTGACGCCAACATATCAGCATCGCCTATAATGTTAAAGTAATCGTGTTGACGCCAACATATCAGTATCGCCTATAATGTTAAAGTAATCGTGTTGACGCCAACATATCAGCATCGCCTATAATGTTGGAATAATCGTGTTGACGCCAACATATCAGCATCGCCTATGATGTTGTAATAATAGTGTTGACGCCAACATATCAGCATCGCCTATAATGTTGGAATAATCGTGTTGACGCCAACATATTAGCATCGCCTATGATGTTGGAATAATCGTGTTGACGCCAACATATCAGTATCGCCTATAATGTTAAAGTAATCGTGTTGACGCCAACATATCAACATTGACTATAATGTTAAAGTAATCGTGTTGACGCTAACATATCAGTATCGCCTATAATGTTGGAATAATCGTGTTGACGCCAACATATCAGCATCGCCTATAATGTTGTAGTCGTGTTGACGCCAACATATCAGTATCGCCTATAATGTTGAAGTAATCGTGTTGACGCCACCATATCAGTATCGCCTATAATGTTGAAGTAATCGTGTTGACGCCAACATATCAGTATCGCCTATAATGTTGAAGTAATCATGTTGACGCCAACATATCAGAGAGACCGGTACCCAAACCATTAAAAAAAGAAGGAACGTAAATTGGTTTAATTTCGTTTAACATATCTGATATTATAACGCGCTGCAAATGTGTCAACAAAGAAATGAATAAAAACCCGAACGCTTTCGAAAGTTTGCCCTGAAGAAGAAAGGTCCACCTTTCGAAAGCGCTCGGGTTTTAGGGTTTTTATTCATTTCTATCAAGACTTCTGTAACCTACGTGTTTTCCTAACATCATGAATGTGTCAACAAAGATATATATACCTGTTTGCTACGGTACAAAATACGACTCATTAAACTTTGAGAAATACTTCTTTTAGACCTCGGATCAGTTGAGTTTTTATGAAATACGACTAAAGATAGAAGTCACACTGTCTTGGCCTTGGATTTACCAACCATTAGAACGTAAGAAATAAATGCATTTTGGAATATATTTTTGTTCACGTTATTATATCAACTGTTATTTAGAAAAATCACAAGACAGTCTTTTTTTTTTTTTTTGTCAGTTATCTAGGTGATGTGGATGTGAAAACGGAGGCGTGTGGCGAACTTCTCAACACTTAAGTGTAAACACTTCAACTAATGTTTACTGTAGCAGTAGAAGCATCGTGGGTGTTCACTTCATTGAACAAAAAATTTCACATTTGATATGTAACATTAAAACCACTCTCATTTCTTCCAGTTGGAGATTTTTCTTATGTTTTAACTAGTACATGATCTAAACAGTTATAGTCAATATATAGAATAAATATAATATGGGTCACTGAGCACTAAATTAGGGGTAGTTTCATAATAATGTATGAAGATAAAAATTTTGTAGTGAAATAAATAAACATCATTTTAGTTTATTGGAAGCTTAAATATTCTAATATTTTTTCTCCGCTGAATAAATGTCACTAAACCAGACAGTATATTACATTGGTAGAATGTTATTTGCTGCTACATTCTGCGGGCGTGACTGACTATAACTTTGTTGAAAGCTCATTGGTTGACCCTATAAGTTGACTAGTAGGTTCCTGTCGCGCTGGTCGAACAAAGTTGTTTTATGATTTATGGAAGACGGAAGAACGAAGCTCTTCACAAGTGTGAAAAACGCTCTTGACTTTCATTTACAGTGATTTGCCAAAACATGTGTACGTTATAAGCATTATAATGTTCCAAGTAGAAAAAAGAAACCTGCTTGTTGATTTAATATAATATTTTAGTTTATTTAATGAGCTGAATGTTTGTATTGTATAATTCCGCGTATTGTGGTGAAAACCCCGTTGTATATTAAGCGTATATCGGAAGTGTGTACAGGAAGGCTAGTGACTTCCTTCCAGTCACCAATGATTAGTCACACTTTGAAGACCTGTACCATCTGGATTATTATACAATTTTTCAAGTACTTCAAAAGAATGAGACTATTTTTATAACTGTGGTGAGGAAATATTTTGAGCAACCATTAATTATTTTTAAAAACACGGATATCTCTTTCAAAAAACGGACAATCAAATACGAAACAGAACCGAAGACAGCAGACTTCCAATGACCACCACAACTTCAAAGTCTTTCTTTATTCGGAATATTATTTCTATTGATGAGAATGATGACAATTTCAAAACCGAGATTTCAGACGAAGGGTGGAAGCCTGCGATGTCAGTCTCCTCATCCGGGGTAGAAAACTTCTCCCAGGATGCTGATTTCAGCAGTTTATCAGCTAATAAGGGTGAGTCTGGTTATGAAGAATGTGAGATTAGAGCAGTGACCACTCCTGCTAACTTAGAATTGAGTTCAAGGATGATGAATGACAATTGTCGATATGATGAACAGAATTCGCTGACTATTTCTCTTTCAAATAGTGTTTTTAATCAAAACCTCTGTCAAGGAAAACATGAAAAACCCCCGTTCAGTTATAATGCCTTGATAATGATGGCTATTCGACAGAGTGTAGAAAAAAAGCTAACGCTAAATGGAATTTACGAATTTATAATGAATAAATTTCCCTACTATCGAGAGAATAAGCAAGGTTGGCAGAATTCAATTCGACATAACCTGTCGCTCAACAAATGCTTTGTCAAAGTTCCTCGACAGTACGACGACCCGGGTAAAGGAAATTATTGGATGTTAGACCCAGCAAGTGACGATGTATTTATAGGTGGAGCCACAGGAAAACTACGGCGTCGTTCTACGTTAACTTCTCGTAACCGATTGAACGCTTTAAGGCGTAATGTTGTATTAGAAAGTTTGCCGTACATATCTTCTGCTTTGAGCGGACACGCACAGGAAAAAGCAATAACTTGGTCACCCTGTCCCTTGGCAACACCATCTGTATCTAATCTTGATTATTCAAACATTATGCCACTGAATCACTCCATTGACACGTTACTAAGAGGGATTGATGCCACTCCAGGGTTTCAAAGACAAAGACAAGATGCTTTTCGACAGACCTGTTTTGCTGCTCCAACTCCAAACCTGCAATTTTCGCCGCTGCTGAGTTCTGGCTTTCAGGAGGGTTTCATGTCTCTTCCTCTTCAGTACAAGATCTTCAACAGCAATAACAGTTATCCACTTCCCAGGCTTCCTCCTTATCCATTGTCTCATTCATCTTATCAAAACACACCTGGAGTAATGAAGAGGGACACAAAACTCTTCCCTCTCTTCTTTTCCAATAGCTCAACCACCTCACAATCGAATTCATCATCTCGGACGACTATAAACGGCCACATATCATAGATAGATGGCAGTAATAATGCATATAATTACTTTTAATATGTTTTTAGTTGTTCAAGCAAAACTAGTTTAACCAATTAATAGGATACAGGTGCATTTATTTTTATGTATGTTCTAGTTATTATATTAGTGTATTACATTAATTTTATTTCATTTTACATGCCATAAAATAAAATGTAACAATTATTTTTGTGTTAGGCTAGTGTTCAAAACCGAATTTCGGGTAATGTATTTACACCTGTCAAGAGAAATCAAGCCATAATTCGGTTTAATTTCTAAGTTATTAATCTTTGAAAGTAAAATATATGTGGCGATAAACCCACAGTGTAATATATAGTTAGAGAATCCTTTGGATGTACGTGACTTTTTAACGCATGCGTTTTATGTACTTTAGTTGTTTATTTATACATCTAAACAATTAATTTGTTTGTAAATTTACACACATGTAGCTTACGTATTATTGAGTTGTAATACAGTTCATCGTTCGTGGTTTATATTTAACTGGATTACATGGGTATTTCTATAGATTTCTCAGAATAAAAGAAACATTCATTATATGTTGCCATTTAGACTTTAATGTATAAAATTTTATAATATATGACTGGGTAATTACCTTGTAGCACTAATAATATATGAGCAAACCATGTAAACAAACTCTACCAAAATAAATAAATAAACTGATATTTGTAAGGTGATCTTATGTCTATATAAGGCAAACGTCAATACGAAAATGGTAAATTACCTACAGATAAGTAATACATGCGAAATGGTGTACCATGTTTCAGGTGATGGAGCATTATTGATATGTTAAAAACTGAGCGAATATATTATTCTGATATTTGTTAATCAACCGGTTATTTTCCGATTACATTTTCTTCTGGGATGAACTATTAGTTTTATATTTCTGTCTCTCTCTTTTTAACGACGTATTTTACAAAAATTGCATAACGTTCTTGGATCTAACAGACGTTAAACTGACTTGCTTAGTGCTTCAACTGAGCGTGTCCTAGTGTTAAATGCCTTGTCTGTGAATCCGAGAGTACATTTTATTTCATATTCACAAAAACGCACTCCGCACTTTGGGGTCGAGGATGTGGTATAAGATAAACCTTTATATTTCACTATTCGATCAAACAATAGTAGCTTAATCATTGAAAAAATTAGTAGCCTATAAGGACATCTAGATCTAATTACTGGTTAGTGTTTTTTTTTATTAATTACTCGCTGGGGTTTGATCCTGGGTCCGTCCTCTTAATAGGAAGGCTGGAGGGATATCCACTCTATCAGTCCTTGGTTTAAACATGAACTTACTACATATAGTTGGAAGTATTACAATGGAAATAAGTAAAGAAAATGTATCAGTGGAAATATTTCAAAGAAAACTTTAAACTAACGGTATAAAGGCAACAAGTTTCTCAGAAAAATACTTAAATATATCAGAATTGTGTCAGTAGCACGAAAAGGACCCCCAGTGTAAAATAGATGAAGATAAATATTATGAGTAGAAGAGTTGTTTAGCTACTATAAACATAACCTTGTTTAATTGACTGTTGCACTGGTGATTGAATTAGTGCAATGAACAGAATACTCCTCTGGTCCAAATATAACTCATAAGATTCAAGAAAAAAAAGAGATTGCACATTAAAAATGATATAAAAACACAGTTTTACATTTGTGTGGGGATGTTTAAAAGTCCCATTCACTTCACCGCCTATATCTATAGACCCCTGGTGATCTTATTCCTCTAACTTGTAAATATCTATTTCGTACAAACGCTGAGTGAGGACTGGTCTATTCTAATGCCAGGGGTTTCTAATAGTTGTTTACTTGTGTGTGTGTGTTTTTTTTTCATAGCAAAGCCACAACGGACTATCTGCTGTGTCCACCGAGGGGGAATCGAACGCCTGATTTTAGTGTTGTAAATCCGTAAACTTACTGCTGTCCCGCCAGGGGGAGTAATACTTTGGACAGTTGTTAGTTACTTCTAGTCACGTACACAAATGTTAGTATGTTTGTTTGGAATTAAGCACAAAGCTACAGAATGCGTTGTAAGTCCACAGCCATACCGCTGTGCCACTGGGGGGGGGGGGGTGTTAGTATGACTCAGTTTAAACTAATCTCTCCCATCCTCTCACTGAATGCTATTGATTTGTTGAATTTTGCTTAGATCTACTCGGGGGCTGTCTGTCCTTAATTTTGAAGTGATAAATTAGAGGGAAGGTAGTTAGTCAACACCACCCTCCGCCAACTCGAAGGCTGCTCTAATCGAATAGTGGGATTTGACCGTCACTCTTAAAACGCTATTTTGTTTTTGGTTGTAAGAGGGCGTGATCCACGGAACCTCGGATCCACAGTCCGGCACGATAACCAGTGGGCCACACTCGGCCCCACACCGAATGTACATCATACATCTACTGGTTCTTCACCTATTTTTGACAGCTACTGTTGAAGCAAAACGTTTGGAGTGTCAATACTGCAGTTATCTCATTTTCTATATATATTCTAGTTTTCTGCATTTACTACAATTTGATTATTATTTTTATATTCCTTATTCAATGTTTATTGTTACATACATTGAGAGTGAAAAATTATTTAGATATTTTTAACACCAGTTACCCAAAAGCAATTTTTTTCCAAGGTACTGGACCACATCTGAAGTAGAACTGACAACCATTGTGTCCACTAATCTAACTAGAAAATCCTAGAATACTAGGAAATTCTATATGATACAACGTCTTAATTATAACTCATTTTATTATTACTACTTATTGAATAGGTAGTGATCGTTTACTTGTCTGACTTTAAGAACCTAAAAGGCTCAGCGGGTAATATCCAGTAACTGACACAAATGATAAAAATGAATAATTTACTGAATAATTACTGAAATGTATTTCTTGTAATTTTGTATGAAACATCAAATTTACGTGAAATAACAAAGACACATGTTTAGTGTCAATGTGACTATGGGTGCAGCTAATAAACAAAGCCCCCCAGTGGCACAGCGGAATGTCTGTGGACTTACAACACTAGAAATACCCGTGGTGGGCAGAGCACGCATAGCCAATTGTGTAGCTTTGTGCTTAACTTCAAACAACAACATAATAAACAAAATGGCAAATCATGAGAATTAAAAGGTAGCCATCACTCTAGAACGGCATTATGTTTGTTGTAAGACAGAAACCATGGAAATGTTATTTTCTTGTCTGAGATTTTATCTGCGTGATGAAAACATAATACGTTTTTCAACCATATTTGCAATCATATAGAAGAAAGTTGGTCTTTCTTGGTTGGTTTAATGGGTTGCAAGCAACAAACGTTATTTTAGTTAAATTAATCATTCAGAAAAGTTCATCGTGTTCGACATTCAAGGGCCTTTTGTTTTGTTACACCTAAAGGGCATTTTCAAAAACAAAGCTGTTGGAGATGGTTTTTGTTTGTTCCTAAGCACAAAGCTGCACAGTGGACTGTCTGTGCTGCGCCCACCACGGTTATCGAAACCCAGTTTTTAGGGCTGAGTTACTGGAGGGCTGGAGATTATGTAAACCTTCAAATATAACTATAGAAGCTATTGTTGGTACCTGTACGGTGCTACCTTTGAACCGAAAATATCGTTGTGTTTGAAACAAATATTATTAGCTACTAATTTAACATGTGCAAATGCACAGGTAAGTAAGGGATTACTTATTAAAGGGCTCGGCATGGCCAGGTGGTTAGGACGCTCAACTCGTAATCTGCGGATCGCGGGTTCGAATCCCCGTCCCGCCAAACATGCTCGCCCTTTCAGCCGTGGGGGAGTTATAATGTGACAGCCAATCCCACTATTCGTTGGTAACAGAGTAGCCCAAGAGTTGGCCGTGGGTGGTGATGACTAGCTGCCCTGGTGTAGCTTTGTGCGAAATTCAAAACAAACAAACAATACTCATTAAAGATAATTAATCAATAAACTTTGTCTTCGTGGGTAGTCGAATAATACACGACAGCAAACCGGGTTGGGTGTGGCCTAATAGTTAGCGGGTCTGAATCGTGAACTTACTATGCAATTACTGCATAGTTCGTAATCAGTTACCTCAAAAACAGGCTGCGCACTTTGTGGTCGTAGGAATATTCTAAAAATGACGATGTAATGTCACTGATCTTGCAGTCAATACTTATGGTTGGATGCTGTTGACTAGCTACCCTTCTTCCACTCTACTAGATTAATTCGTAATTATAGACATGTAGCTTTAGGAGGAAATTCTAAATGATCAAACTACAAGTGTTCTATACCGCTACCGAAATAATTAAACGGTAAGAGACTTTGTTATGAACTTTTATTTTTATTTTTATTTGTTTGTTATTAACTTTGAAATTAACATATTCTGTTGCATCTTATTCTCGAGGTTGCCCCCAGTGGCACAGCGGTATGTCTGCGGCTTTACATCACTAGAAACCGGGTTTACAAACAAACAAACAAAACTCTCAAGGATCTAAGTTTTAGCCAGTATGTAGTACCATGTAACCGAAAATAATAATACTTATCTTAAACAAATAAATTTCTATTGCCTCTTCAGATATGGTTTACCGTCCGGTAGCTCAGTGGTAAACGTGAGGATTTATAACATAAATAAACATATTATAAAATTGGGGTTCGATACCCGCTGTGGGCACAGTACAGATAGCCCTTTCTATAGCTTTGCACTTAAACACAAACAACTATGTTTTTTGAAAAAAATCAGTTTTCGTATTTACAAGATTTATTAAGTTTAATTAAAAAAAAATAAATAAAGCCATTATCAACCAAAGCACAAAAGGATCAGCCATTCTAAAAGGACACGAGTACTGGCAAGACGAATAATCAAAGAGAAATATCAGAGTTAGTATTCAAATGGTATTTCTTTGAAATACATTGGAGAATGAAATTTGTTGACAGAGCAATAAGGTCAACGAACACAAATTGGCAAACGTGTATATTTTATCTAGAGATGGCGCTGTTGTATACAAAAATATTTCTGGTTTGTTATGTATTTCG